GCGGGGAGGAGGGATTTGGGGCTGAGCCAGGAATCTCATTGGCCCAGGCTGGGGTACTCGAGGCCCTGGGTTCTAGGGTCACAGTTGGCCTGACACTTCTTACCACCCCCAGACACAGACTACATCAGCAGCGAGGAGCTGGCCCAGGTGGAGCAGATGCTGGCACACCTGACCTCCGCGTCTGCCCAGGCTGCAGCTGCCTCCCTGGTAAGTGGGGCACCCATAGCGCCCACGCCCATGGCCTGAGGGCAGGGCTGCACTTACAGGCCTGGCTATGGCCGCCTTCCTGAGTGGCCCACCCTAGCCCACCTTGCACTGTGCTCCCTGCAGCCCACCAGCGAGGAGGACCTTTGCCCCATCTGCTATGCACACCCCATCTCTGCCGTGTTCCAGCCCTGTGGCCACAAGTCCTGCAAGTAAGGGGCCCCCCCTGGGTGCAGGAGGCGGGGCTGGGCCAGGGAGCAGCAGGGACCCCAGGCCCCCTCACCCTCCCACTGCAGAGCCTGCATCAACCAGCACCTGATGAACAACAAGGACTGCTTCTTCTGCAAAGCCACCATCGAGTCGGTGGAGGACTGGAGGGCAGGCGGGGCGAGCAACACCTCCTCGGCTGCCTAGATCCGCGGTCCACACAGCAGGAGACTCTGCCCGAGCCCAAACCCAGGCTGGGCCCTATTTATGAGCTCCCCTTTCCAGCCCCCCACCATCCCCAGCCTCCTGCGTGTCCCCCATGGCGGGAGCCCAGCCCTCATTGTGCCTGAGCTCGACTTCCAGTCAGGGCCACTGTGAGCATTAAATTATTATTCAAACAGCCCTGACCCGACCCTTCTTGAGGGAGTGGGCGGGGTGGGGTGTGCCCAGCAAGGACCCTTCCAGATTATGTGCCCGGGAGAAGGCAGGTGTCCGACTGCTTCCGCCTTGTCCAGGCCTCCCCAGACAGGGTAGCGAGTCCAGGGCCTATGACATGTCAAGCCAGTGCCCCCTTGCCAATAACAGGGCTATGGCAGCCCCTCACATGATGATTCGCGGCTCCGGCACCGAGTCGCCAATGGACTTGTGGGGCAGCACGCTGGCCCCGTTGAGGTAGAGCTCGTCGTTAACGATGACGTCCTCACCCAGCACCGTCACGTTCTCCATCCGCACCTGGGGGGAGGGCAGGCCTTGTCAGGGAGGCAGACGCATCCCGGCCCCTCCCCCCATCGGCCTAGCCCCGACGCTTACCCACTGGCCCACGCGGCAGCGCCAGCCCACGATGCATGACTCGAGCCAGGAGTGGGAGCGGATGCGGGCGTCGCGCAGCACCGTGCACCGGCGGATGCAC